TTTTTTCTTTTTTTTTTTTTTTTTTTGTGGGAGAGGAAATTCTTTTGTCCTTGCCCTGGATAGATGTGGCTTGGTACTGCGATGACAGAAAGACTAGCCCCCAGCCAGGCACCAAGGACCACTCAGTACAAGAAGGAGGTTTAGAAATCGGAGTAGTAAAGGTGGGGCCTCAAGATGAGAGCAAAGCCTGGGGCAAGTGGTAGAGGCCCCCATAGAGAAAACAGCTTGAAAACTGGGGATTGAAATGAGGAACTCCCTCTCCCAAGGAGATCTTTTGGACAGTTTCCCTATTGCTATTACTTCCTACACACACATGAACAAACGTCTGCCAAAGCAGGATATAGAGCAACGGTCCCTCCAACTTGATACGCTGTTTCTGATGCCAAGTGAGGTCTGAGTCTTCTGGTGTGCCCCACAACTGATGGCCTTGTGTAAAACTCTCTTAAGGAAAATTCTGCTAAATTCCAGGTGTTTAGTGGCTGGGTTATAGCCCAGAAGGATCCCATCCTCATCTTCTGTAAGCAGATTTATATCTCCAAAAGCCTAAGTTTGTCCTCCCCTAGTCCATATAACCAAATGATCTTATCTTTATAGATCAAGAGCAAGTATTTGAATCCCAGAAAGTCTTTTTTCCTCTTTCAGAGATCAGTTACACATTCTTCAGGAGAATGTCTGATCAGTTATATATGTTCTGCATTTCTTTACATTTGATTTTTATTTGCCACATTCCATCTGCTTTATCATGAAAAAGGAATACCTATGTGTTTCTATCTGTCCTTTACATTCTCTCATCTCCCTGGCTAAATCTTCCATCAAAACCAAGTAGTTTTAATTTTCTTCCCACTCAAAACTGTACCAAATCCTCTTAAATAAGTATTTATCCCTTTCTATTTCTACAATTTCCTTTTCTTTCACTGGCAAAGGACCAGAGGTGATGTCAGCTCTGCTACAAGCGCAGCTGTTGGCGGCACAGGACACACTGCATGCTAATCACATGAATATTTACCCAGCTTCTTGGAGGGATTTTGAAGCTACCCTCAGAGCCATATTCAACCAGCTAGTCTAAAGCTAGCTTGGTTTTCTCCACAACATGCTGCAACGTCCTGCTATAATACTCACGATGATGTTACTCACTTTCTTTTTCTTACCAGAAACTCAGGTCTTACTTATTTAACTTATTATAGCTGTGACTGCACAACAACCTGGCATTGATATCAAAACATTGATAAGAATGTATAAGTGGCTACGCTTAATTAGTGCTAAAGATGCATGGGAATTCTAAGGCATGCTTTCCAATGAGCCCAACCAATGACTTGCACAAATGAAATTTTCTCCATTAACTGGGTTGCCCAACTACCAGAATCCTTGAAATAATTGTCAAAAGTGTCTAAGCATCTTTGTTCATCAAAATAATTGTAGGTAGATACCCAAAACATTGGGTATTTCAAAGTAATATTGATTCTACACTTTGTTCCTGTGATAAATTTTACATTAGTAAGACTGTTCCTGGATCTCCCATTAAGAAGGGCATTTATTCTGGAGACATGCAATATATGTGAAAAAGCTCAATGAAATCTAGGTATAGCAAATGTTACAGAGCTTTGAGTCTTCCAGTTACTACTCCTTCATGGTGGAAGAATGATCATTTTGTTCCAACTTTTTTATTTTCTTTCAAATGGCTAATCTAGTTTCAAAAATTCATAATTGTTTGAAAGTAAAAATCTAAGGTTGTAGTTTGTCATTATGTGTGTACAAAAAGCCAGCATTGACAACGTATTGATATTGAAGGTGAGATGTGATAAATTGCCTGTCTATCTTATATGTGGAAATGATCTTGGATGCTTGGCTGAAAGTGAAATGTTGGGCTCCATGCATACATACCTTTGTATCCCAGAATGGCTACTGTGATTGTTAACAGGGCACATAAAACATATAATAAGATGATGGAAAACTTCAGTGCCCAGTTATTTTTACATTTGGTACATTGAGTCCCCTCCTGAATACCTGCAAAAGAAGATTTTAAGAATTTTAAAACAATGGCAAAGAACAGCTGGTTTTATCTCCCCATTTCCTCTCCTCCATTTTCTAGAGAACAAATTATTTACATAACAGATATTTGGGTGCCTATCTGCCCTATTCTGCCAGGACAGCTTCCACAGTGGTCAAAGCATCAGCTTAGTGATACAATCACTTTGGGATTTCAGCACGTGGAAGAGAAGTAGGTTCTGCTTCACTGGAAAACCTGTGCCTTTCCTGAGAGACAGGACTATTTTCCAACTGTGCTAACAAGACTATGGTGAGCTTTGGAAGTCAAATGTTTATTAGCATCCTTGTTGTCAGGCATCCCTCTTAGCATTCAGATTCCCTACAGGGACAGTAGAAGACAGTAAATGCTCTGGCAAAAGGACAATATAGAAATAAAATAACATTGTGAAAACCTGGTAGGAGTACTGGTCCTGCTTCATAACCATTACCACAAATGGCTACCATGTGAACACTTTCTTTCCATACTAAGAGAGACTTTTTTCTTATTTTTGGGTGGTTTGGAGAATACTATTTCCACATAAAAGAAAGGGGTGCTATACTGGTAAAGCTAGTGGTACATCTATACTGACAGAAAAATGCTGGTGAATCTCCCTTTGTGGACAAGTTTAAGGAAAGGGGCCTCAAGCTGATGAGAGAAAACAGGCCTTTACTATTTTATATTTGAACTTTTTGAAGAATGGTTTGATACCTTTGAGTCTATTAAGAAAGCAATATTCCTCTTTTCTTCATGTGCTCCTTGGGAACAGCTTGAGAGTGTTGGAAGTGTTGGTTAAGTTACCAAGAAATTCATCAGAAACACCAACATGGAAAAACATGAAAACAGGACCACTGTGCTGGAATGAATGGGTGGGATTTATCCCTCCTTCTGATGTGTGTTAAGCAGGCCAGGATTAATGTAGCTTTCTATGTCTGTCAGAAAGTGCATTTCTTTGATATTTTACTCTATTTGTGTACTATTAGGGGAGTCCCACAGGAAAGCTTTAAGCTCTAATAAATTCTATGTACCAGATTACTTAGCTAATCAAAACTTGCTCCGCAGCTTTTTATGAGTGACTTATATTTCCCCTGAGGCCTAACCCACAGCTGATTTTACTTTCCCCAACTCATGACCTTCTGCAGAGCACTTTTTATTTTTCATTTTTTAAGAGAAAAGCACAGGCCACTTCCCGTTGGTTCATGGAGGATGGGTGACCGACACATCAAGTTAAGTCAACTGTATTTCTCTCTCCCAAAGCACCACATTTTCCAGTGACTTCCTTAAGCCCAGGGTACTTCCAGGAAGGATTACCATACTGGAGCAACTCAGGAAGAGGATTTATACAAAGTTTATTTGACAAGGCATTTTCCTCAATTCCCTATGCACATACAGTAGCCGTAGCTAAGGCAGAAATGCATCTCTCATAGGTCAGCCCGCTTTCCACATTATGTCATCTCATGTTTTCTCTAAATTTTTTCAGCTATGAGGTCACGTTCTGTTGCCATGTAATGAAAGTGATGTCATAGACCTGGGTCTGTTGGGCTTCAGGTATAATGTCAGTTGGGAACCACTGGTTCTTTTTTTTCAGAAACAGGAACATCACGGGGAAATAAGACAAAACCTGTAAGCACAAACCCAAGAACAGAAACTCCAGAGGAAAAAGGCTTCTCTCCTGCCTGTGCAGGTGGGAAGGAAGGGAGCTGGCACAGAGATGAGCAGTTGCTTAGCCCATTTATTGGTGACTTGGATTTGGAAGGATTATAACTTCTGCACCACAATTTGTCAAGTTTGCTTATGGATCCTTATGTGTGGGCTGGTTTTCTTTGGTTGATAGTCTCAAGGAGTTTGCTAGAGGGGAAGCTCTGCTTGCTGAAAAAGCTGGAGAGGGCAAGTGCAGTTTTCTAAGGGTTTGCATTGGGTATTCAGAAACTGAAATTATTTCACAGCGGGAACTTGTGGCGTCTGAAGCACCATTTTGCTGCTGTTAGCTAGTACTAGTGGGCTCTTTAAGCCTCTGTGTGCTCAATGAAAGGTTCCCCCGCCCAGGGTTTTAAAATTCAGATTCCAATTCTGTATGTCTTTGAACATCCCACATATCAGAAAACATGAGAAGCTTGGGCCACAAAGCCCATCACATTCACCTTCTAAATACACGGATAACAGAAAGCTTGATCCTCCCTATTTGAACGTTAATGGAAGCAGGGACAGATCTGTAACTAGGAAGACTGATAGACTGCAAAGGTACAAAGCACAGAGAAAGGCAGAAACTGAAGTAAAACCTTTGACAGCAACTGCACATAGAAAAGTTTCACTTGATTACATTCTTATATTAAGATTACTCATTTTATGACATGACCTGTTTTCTGTCACTGTAGTCTGGCTTCCTGTGTAATGAGCTGCAACTTCACTGATGTCACTGGATGTACTGCAGTTCAGCATCTAGCATCGTGTATGCTCCAAAGTTTCATAAGGATCTTGTTTCACTTGCCTCAGTCCTCTCTATCGCTGGTTCAATAAAACAGCACTTTGGCTTTTCGGAACTTTTACTTTCTGCGTATTTCAAACTGACATCGGAACAGCACCCCAACAAAAACCAGACCTTTCCATCCTTTAACAGTCTGGTGCTGTTGGTATCAGTAACATAAACACAGCGTACTAAAGCGATCATACAGGCAGGAGCGATCCCATTAACTACGCTGGGCTGGAGCTGCGTATTGTATTGCCTGCTGGCACTTTCTGTCAGCTTAAAACTGTATCTGACTGCCATCGAAATCCCACTACCCTCATCCAACGTGCCCCAGGTCCAGGGCTGGAGTCAAAACCCAGGGAGCTCTAACAAGCTCCTTTGTTTTCCTTTGCCTAGAGATGGACACAGTAAAGTCTTACAGAGCTGTTAAATTTACTCTTTATTGCAAATACAACTGACTTTCTAGTTTACTGAACGTATAAAAATACTAAGGATTACTAAAGAGGTACCTTGAAGGAAAGATTTGGAAGACACATTTTTATGTCCTTCTGTGCAGTTCAATAATCCAGGCTACGAGCAAAGGTAAAAGCCAGGAATGCACCCCTCTCTGTATAGGGATGAATTACAGTGTAATCAGGTCTCCACAACCTCCCCAAGTACAGAGCCTGGTTTCAGCTTGCCCTGTTGCTCTTCCTCACTACCCTGTTTAAGGACCAAGCCCAAATAAGATTGTTCTGATACAGGAGATACATTTAGTCCATGCTGTGAGGACACATTTCTATTGAAGGGTTGCTCTGAAAAGACACGAGAGCCAAAACATTAAGCAACAACAGATGGGAGAAGTTGTGATTACACAAAACCCAGCCGGTTGGCATAAAATTATACAGGTTTATCACAAAAGCTGAGAGTCAGGACTTGAAGAAGTCCATGCTTGGGCTTTCATTTGACAAAACTTCCCAGTTTCACCCACTCAACTGCTGGCTTTCATGGCTTACACAAAATGCAGTGTTCTACCACGAGAAGTGTAACCTCTCATCTAGAAAGCTGCAGAATAAATGTATAGGGAAAGACCCTACATACCCATGCCATTTGACAGCATGTATGTAAACCCCTTGCAAAAGGGGGTTCTCGGCTAAAGTCAGCTCTTCCCCATTTGTTATTGTTGCTCCCAGAGCAGCACACTCCTCTCTGTGTCCTGTACACGTGTTTTCAATGTTGGTCTGCTCCCAGACATTTGTCACTCACTTCCAAACCCAGGGAGCCAGGGTCACTTCCGCATGATGTGCATTTCTCACTGCTGATTTGATCAACGTTTAATAAATATCAGATGGGACACAATGTGCCTCGTTTCGCTGGACACATGCTTTTTTCCATTCCTTTCCCCAACTTATTTTAATAAGAGCTCTGGTTTTTCTATCTCACTGTTGGGAAGACATCTGGCCAAACAGACAGCGACCTAGTACAAAGGGATCCTGCTGGCTCACATGCTTTGGGGACCCCCTTCTCTGCAAACCAAGATGGTCACAAAAAAATATGCAAGTGAGACATCCCCCTGTTACCAGGCTTTGTAGTATTTGTTTTTACAGCATTGCATTCCAGTGACTGAAGACTTTGTTCTCAAGCAGGGGGTATACATCTGCAGATTCCTTTTGGGCTCCAGATAAGCAGAGGTTTTGCTGGAGGAGGAGCTGATTTTTTTGGTTGGACTTTTTGTTGTTATTGTTGTTCTCTGTTTTTTTAATGGGAGACTAAGTACCTCTGCTCTTTGACATGGAGTAACCACCTTACAAAATGCCTGACTACTCAACTATATTACGCTTCAGGAGCACATCTTTGAACACTCAAATATGATATGTGCACACATTTTTTTCGCTGAATAATTCTTTTAGAAGTATTTGCCTCTTTGCCCTTTTCTTGGCTTTTTACTGCAGGTTCTTAGGTGGCCTCATAATATTTCTGCTAGCAGATCAGTTTTGACAAAGATGCAAGGTTCCCTTTGCAGCCCTGACAAAAGATGTACAGATAAGATGATTGAAGAAATGTAATGCAGGAAATAAAAATACATACATTAGTTAGGAGGGGTTTTCCCCAGTGTGATTCATTGAAAAGAGGAAACATCCCTTGAATTTCAGAAGGAGGACTGCAAGCTTTTTTTGCAGCCTTCAAGTGATAAATTTCTCAAAACTAATGTTTTTAGAACTGATGATCTAATAGTTTAAAGAGTTTAAAAAGTTTAATATTTAAAAATAAAGAGGCCTAAGCAAACTACGTATATCTAGTTCTAACCCCCCTGCCAGGGGAAGGTATCCCTGCTGATGGCAGACGGGTTGGAACTAGATGACCTTTAAGGTACCCTCCAACCCAAACCATTGTATGATTCCATGATTCAACATGTAGGTAGGAATCAAATACTGAGAGGTGCTTAACCACGCAGAGTTGCAACAAGCTCCCAGTGGTGCTACTCTCACTAGCAATAGTAGATGATACCATGAGGAACCCATCTCTAGGTTTTAA